GCCCACCCAAAATTCTCTTTTTTCGGTTATTGTTTGGGTAACACAGTAGAAGACTGTGGAAATTTGCTAGTGTGTTTTCAACTGAGGAAGTGGAGAACGACCTAGATTTGTTGTGTTTACGCTTCAAGAGGTAATCCTAAAATCTCCATACGTGCTAGTTGTTTAGATTACATGTGAATAAGATTCTGTTATTGCTTCCGCTGTCATATATATTCCATCATATGGCTGCTCAAGTAGCTCCATATCTGGATTTCAGTTCCGAGTACGAGTCACTGATGGAACTGCCTAACAATGCTATCGGCAAATATAACGAAAAAGAGTGCAATGTATGTATGCACCTTAATTTGCTTTCTGTGATTAGTCCCTGACTATCCTTCCTTTAGTGATAGTGACTCTCTTTTGAGGTTCACAAGTACAAGGTCTTGAAGATTGAGAAAATGATTTATCTTTTGACGGCATACGAACATTATTTCATGACTGTGAAAGTAGTCTCAAATCTCACTCTTGTTACTCCTATTGAAACTTTCCAAATCAGTGCTGCCAAACATGTAGCCAATGGTGATATAGTTTTCGATTGTTGCCGGCCTAAAAAAGAGATAATCAGCTAATTTGCTGCCTTTTTTCTTCTTCTGTGTGTGTGGGTGTGTTAGGTAAAATAGGTCATTACTTAATGAATCTTTTTGTTTGTTTTTTGAGTTTCAATGGCAATAGGTCTTTTTTTGGGGTAAATAAAAACTTCTATTACCAAGGTGAAAGTACGTTACAGCTCAAAAGAAACAGAAAAACAACTATCTAAGGTTGGACATGCAGCCCCAACCTTACGCATTCTGCTTATTCTCATACCCTGTTCCAAAACAATCACACAAACTACCAAACACAAGCAAGAATCAGTATAGCAGCACCTGTCTACTACCACTTGTGCTCGGGGATAAAAATTCAAAGTGTCCAGCCTCCTAAGCAATCTGGGTTTTAATCTTCGTCTGCGGCATAATTCTTGAATGATCATGCAATATGTCTTATAGTTGCTCAACCTTTGTAAGTTTTGGTATTTTGAGATAATTAACTTGTGGATATGCGTTCTACTGGGCAGTGTTATCAAAGTGCGAAAAACGCAAAAAAACTCTAAGGTCCGTTGGCACTTTAAGTGCAAAGCGTCAAATAAAGCGTGAACTTTAATGAAAAAAGGCGCAACTGGATAAAAAGTAAAAATATATATATGTAGTCCAAGACTAATAATTATAAGTATGAATAATAAATATATGGACAAAGAAATTTTTAAAAAAATTCCGATAAAGTAAAATATCAATTGTTTAATGTCGTCTTTTCATAATTCCACTCATCGGCAAGGAATAATATACCTTAGAGCCTTGATGCGTTACTAAAGCGCCCATAAAGCGAGGCGAAGCGCTCAACATGTTTTGAGCCTCGCTTCAGGGTTTAAGCGCGAGCAAACTCGAATGATAGGATGGATTTTGGGAGAAGCCCAAACAGAATATGCTTTGCCATGGGCGTGTATGGTATCACGTAGGAAATCATTTTCCAGTATTACCTTGAAATTGGGGAGCATGCTTTGAACAATTAAAATATTTTCCACCTAAAAAGGGTGGAAAATGACTACCCATAATTACAAACGAAAGTCATGTTTCTTTACGATTCTAAAGTCTTTTTTCATATTACTTGTACTCATAACACTGTATGTGATTTGTCAGGAGAGTCCGAAATTTTCTTCATGATATATTTCATGTTTGATCCTTGTCTGGATAGAAATACAAATGATTAAAATATTATAACCAAAAGATCTTTCGTCTCCAAAAAAAAAAGGATAACCAAAAGATCTTTGATTCTCATTTCCCCCTTATGCTCTTGGTGGCATAGACTACTTAAGTGAAAATCCCAAATTTGCATCACAATAAAAATTATGTCGTTAATGCTTGCAAAAAATACAAAGTTGAGTTTTGGATTAGGATTTCGTGATTATTTGTGGAGTAGATATGACTGAAAATGGTAATTGTTAGCATCACTGGTCCTCTTTCTGCTACTGACATTACCTTAAAGATCAAAGACCTTTGACATAAGGGTGATTGGGATCTCTCAAAATGATCATTTGAATTACCTGATCACACTACTCTTGGGATATACTATTAACCATGCGGTTTAGACATAGTATTATATTTTATTCTTTATGGAGCAATTATTTATTTAATTTATTCAATTCAATAAAGTACTATTTTAAATAGATCATTTGTTACATGTGTGTCCTTTTAGTTATGTAGTAGACAATTTAGTGTATGGAGTCTTAACTCATGCACAGAAGATTAAATTGCTGGTTATCATAATTAATAAACTATGTTCACAATCAAAGATATTGTTGGACAAAATATCTTGATGATTGTAGCACAAGATTATCGTATAATTTGTCTTGATTATGAAAGTAGTTTTACTCCAACTTCTTATGCTAGTATACTCAGTGTATATTGAACGGATCAAGTAGAGAAAAGATGTTTTTGTACTGAATATATAACACATTTTCTCTAATTCATTAAATGAGCTTATACTCCTAATCTTTATATAATTATTGTGATCAATGTAATTTGTTTATTGTTTTGATTTATCAAAAGGTACGACTCTATTTAGAGTTAGTATATGCCTAATAGATTGGACAATAACACATAACATTTGTAAATAATAATTAGTTGATAGAATCCATGACTCGGTTTTGGGTTTGATGATATCCTTTATGTAAGCTTATAAGTTTTCATGTGAAAAGCCGCCTGGTGAATTTTGTATCCATCACATGAAATAGTTTAAGCGGAATTATAAAGGATTTAATTAGTTAATTGAATTAAATTTTCAGTGATTTAATTTAATTAACTGGTATTTGAAATCTTAACCTGGGGAGTTAAAATAAGTGCTAATGAATTTTCGAAATTCATATTGAGGAGTTCAATTGTAGTTTTTAGTAGAATAAATTGCAATTAATTATAGTAAGAATTAATTCATGCTAATTTCGAATTAATACTATAATTAGTAGTCTCTTATTATTTTTGTGGTCCCTGCTATACCTAGTAAAAACCTGGACAGACTTGGGTAAAAAGTAGCTTGGGAGAAAAGTTATCCTTTTGAGTTAGAGCAGAATTCTTGTAGAATCCTACACGTTTTTGAGCCTCTATTGTGGCTTAATTTCGAGTCTATTAAAGGAAGACTAGTTTCACCTAATAACTTACCTTTCAGTTGTATTGTTCTTGCCCACCCAATAGCAAAATCGTCCAAGGTTTTACTAGGCAAATAACAGAAGACTGCAACCCTGGATTCTTGCTGCTTGGCAGGTTTGTGCAACTACTTCAAGAGGTTAGTGCTTCTAATCTCGTTATTATTACGTTGTCTAGTTCACATGTATTTGATGTCTTGTTTGTATGCTTGCTTCTGCTGCGTATGTTCTAACAATTGGTATCAGACGCCATCTTACATCTAACTAGATAACGTAATACAACATGCATAGAGTAATATTAAAACGTGTTATTTATTGATACATGTTTGGGATGATTATTCTATGTTAAAAACGCGATTGTATTTATTAGTATCTTAATTATGTAATTATGAATTAATATACACATATATAAACAGTAGTGTTATATTTAAATAACAGTCTGTTCAAATTACGTTTTTTGCTGAATAGCAATTTTTTTTTGATAAAAACGTGATTGTGTTTTTGAATGCTATTAATGCTGTAATTATGGGTTAATATACATATGCATAATTAGTGAATTAATACCATTAATCTGTTTTAGTTGCGTTCTGTCCATAATCACAATGTTATATTAATAAAAACTTGACTGTTTTGTATGATATTAGTTCTGTATTTTTGGATTAATATACAGAATTATGAACAATACCGTTTTTGACTAGTGAAAATATATTGTTTTTACAATTCTATCTAAACACGTTTTTATTATATAAAAAAATTATTTTGAGTTCTGAAATCATGTGTTAACAAACATCAGTATATTATGTGATTTGAACAAGTCAAAATAATTAAAAACCCTTAAAATGCCAAAAATAGAATTCTAGTCACGCGTAGAATTCTGAAATTCTGTCAAACTCCGATTGACCTCAAATTTGGTAGGTTCATCGGAAACGGCCCAACATAAAAAACACATTAGCTTTGCTGATGATATACGTCATTTTTGGGCATTCGGGGTCGTTTAGATGGAGTTTTGGCCTTTTTTTCTATTTTCTGGAATTTATTTAATAAAAAAAAATATTAATAGAAATATGTGATGGTAGGGTTCAATTCCCATTGTTTCCAATCATGTTTTACAGTAATATAATGAATTTATATGCTGACATAGGTCTTCTTCCACATCGGATAAATTCATTATAGATGATTACTGTAGTTTTGCCTCTAATTATTTCATTACTTGTATCAACTCTCCAACTGAGTTACATGTTGATTAAATGAAACTAGAGTTTATAAAAGTGATGTTTACCTATCTTAAATTAACAATTTACTCTCCATCTGAGTTGATCCTGTTTAAATTTATGGGGTTAATATCTTACATCACTCATATATTTTGAATGAATAGTTAAGTTTCCCTAACGAATCTAACTGTTCAATGAGCATGGTTATATGTGTAATGTGCCGTTTTTGATCATTCTAAATACATAACTAATGATCTATTTAATGTGAATATCTCTCAGATTAACCATGTCTTCATTCAACCCACTTACCTCAATTTTAAACCAAAACAAGTTAGAAGGACTGAATTATGTTGACTGGAAAAGGAACCTTGATATTGTCCTAACTGCTGAAGGTTACAAATTTGTAATCACTGAGGAGTGCCTAGAAAAACCCGAAAATGCTACCGATGATCAGGTTAAGGCCTATGACAAATGGGTTAAGGCTGATGAGATGGCGCAATGTTACATTCTTGCCTCTATAGCGAATGTTTTGCAACATCAGCATCAGTCTATGGGTCTGCTTATGATATGCTCGAAAGTCTCAAAGATATGTTTGATGAGCAAAATCGTGCAGCTAAGCAGACAACTATGAAATCCCTTTTGAACACCAAGATGGCTGAAGGATCATCGGTCAGGGACCATGTTCTGAAAATGATGAGTCTTTTGAATGAACTGGAGGTCCTTGGAGCTGTGATTGATAAGGAGTCTCAAGTTGAGATGGTCCTACAGACTCTGCCTGACAATTTTTAATAGCTTCGCTTGAACTATAATATGAATAAAATGGATTTGTCACTAGCGAAATTGTTGAATGAGTTGCAAGCAACAGAATCTATTATCAAACAACAAGCTCCAGTTGTAGCACTCAATGTTGAGAAAGCTTCCGTTTCTAAGTCGAAAGGCAATAAGAAAAAAAAGAAGGCTCAAAAGGTTCTAGCACCTGGTGGTGCGGCTGGTGTGAAAAAGCCCAAAGGCAAGTGCTATCATTGCAAGCAACCTCGGCATCACATGAAGCAACCTATCTGGCAAAGTTGAATAAGCAAGGTAATTCAAATTTAAATGTCGTTGAAACTTGTTTAGCGACTGTTTCTACCATGTTTTAGTGTGTAGGTTCGGGAGCCACTAATCATATCTGCACTACTTTGCAGGGGTTTCAGGAAACGCGACGGCTAAGTGAGAATAAAGTTTGCGTTTTTCAAGCCAATGACGAGCCAACACCAGCTTTAGCTTTAGGAGATATTAGAGTTTCGTTTAGTAGTGATAGAGTTTTAGTTGTAAAAGATGTTCTCTATGTACCTTCTATTAGAAGAAATTTGATTTCGGTTTCAAAAATAATGGATGCTGGTTATAATGTTTGTTTGCTAATAACTCTACTATTATTAAGTTTAATAAACGTTTTATCTACACTGCTGCTAGAGTACATGACCTTTTTATTCTTGATATATCTCCTCATGTGCTACAACAGTCAAAAGAACTAAATAACATTAATCTACCACATAAAAGAAAACGTATTTCTGAATTGAGTCAAACTTATTTATGGCACTTACGTCTAGGCCATATAAATCTAAATAAGATTTCGAGATTGGTCTCTGATGGAACTTTTAGTTCATTGAAAGTGGAGTCACTGCCAACATGCGAATCCTGTTTAGAAGGCAAAATGACCAAGAGACATTTTCCCTCAAAAGGAAATAGAGCCAGTGATAAGCTAGAATTAATTCACTTTTGATTTGTGTGATCCTATGAATATACAAGCAAGAAGTGGTTTTGAGTATTTTGTGACTTTCACAGATGATAACTCAAAATATGGATATATTTATCTGTTGTGACATAAGTCTGAATGCTTTGAGAAATTCAAGGAATTTAAGACGGAAACGGAGAAACGACATGATAAATATATCAAAACATTGCGATCTGATCGTGGCGGTGAATACCTTTCTGCGGAATTTATAAAATACTTATCAGATAATGGAATTACATCTCAATTATCTGCCCTAGGAACACCACAATAAAATGGTGTGGTAGAAAGAAGAAATAGAATCCTTATGGAAATGGTTAGATCAATGTTAAGTTATTCTAATTTGCCTTCTTCCTTTTGGGGATATGCTTTAGAAATAGTAAACTACATTCTAAATTTGGTTCCTTCAAAGTCAGTACGTTCAACTCCAGTAGAATTGTGGACTGGGCGCAACCCAAGTTTACGACATATTCGGGTTTGGGGTTGTGAGCACATGTGCTGAAAGGGAAAACGGATAAATTGGAATCAAGAACAGAAGTATGCATTTTTATTGGACATCCAAAAGGAACAAAAGGCGGTTTGTTTTATTGTCCCAAAGAAAAGAAGGTAATTGTTACGACAAATGCCAAATTTTTAGAAGAGGACTATCTAACGAATCATATTCCTAGAAGTAAACTAGTTTTACAGGAATTAAACAAAGGAGTAACTAAAGACTCATCTCTAGAACGTATCCCGGAAGCCAGTATTGACATACCACTGCATTATCGTAGTAGGAGAAATGTCAATAAGCAATAGATTGCACAAGAGCAATTGCCTGACATCTCACTACCCCAAAGTAGTGGGAGTAATATTGAGCAACCTCAGATTGTTGAGCAACCTCAGATTGTTGAACAACCTGAAATTGTTATGCAATCTACACTCCAGGAAGAAGTTAATGATATCCCAGCACCGCAAGGTGTGGAGGATAACATTGAGGCTTCAGTTCCAGGAAATGATGACGTGATTCAACAACAAAATCAGCCTCCACATGTAGTGACTAGTCGTAGTGGGAGAATTATTAGAAAACCTCTTCGGTTTGCACTCTTGGGAGAATCTTATGATAGAATCCCTGAAGAGCCTAATACATAACCTATTAATTATGACGAAGCACTACATGATGCAGATGCTGATAAATGGGTTGATGCTATGAAATCTGAAATGGATTCCATATACTCTAATCAAGTCTAGGATCTCGTAGAACCACCTATTGGACTCAAACCCATAGGTTGTAGATGGATCTATAAGAAAAAGAGAGAAGTGTATGGAAAAGTACAAACTTTTAAAGCTAGGCTTGTTGCAAAAGGGTTTACTCAAAAGAAGGGATCAATTATGAGGAAACTTTTTCGCCGGTAGCCATGCTTAAATCCATTAAGATTCTCTTATCCATTGCTGCTCATTACAATTATGAGATCTGGCAGATGGATGTCAAGACCACTTTTCTAAATGGAAGTCTTGATGAGTGCATCTATATGGCATAACTAGTTGGTTTCATAACAAGTGGCAATGAGCACATGTTGTGTAAATTAAAGAAATCTATTTATGGATTGAAACAGGCTTCTAGGGCATGGAACACTTATTTTGACGCATCGATTAAGACCTTCGGTTTTGATCAATGTGAAAATGAGTCTCGTGTCTATAAGAAGTAGAATGGAGATAAAGTTACATTTTTGGTTTTGTACGTAGATGATATTTTGCTCATAGAAAATAATGTGAGCATGTTGAACTCAGTAAAGGAATGGTTGTCCTCACGTTTCGATATGAAAGACTTGGGACATGCAACACATATCCTTGGGATCAAGCTTATGCGAGATCGCAAGCAAAGGATATTAGGCTTGTCCCAAGCACTTTATATTGATACTATTCTCACCAGGTTTGGCATGCAAGATTCCAAGAAAGGGTTTCTCCCCTTTAGACATGGAATCTCTATGTCAAAAGATCAGTCCCCAAAAATGACTGATGAGATAGAAAAGATGAAGGCGGTCCCTTATGCTTCTGCTGTAGGGAGTCTTATGTATGCTATGCTATGTACTAGACCTGATATTTGCTTTACTGTTGGCATGGTTAGTAGATTTCAGTTTAACCCTGGTCGAGAACACTGGACTGATGTTAAGAATATAATCAATTACTTGAAGAGGACTAGGGATTATATGTTGGTGTATCACTCAGGTGATCTTGCACCCGTTGGCTATACTGATTCAGATTTCCAGTCAGATAGAGACTCTAGAAAATCTACCTCAGGATATGTTTTTACCTTAGGAGGTGGAGCCATAAGTTGGAGGAGCATCAAGCAATCATGTGTTGCTGATTCCACCATGGAAGCCGAATATGTGGCTGCATCTGAGGCAGCTAAAGAGGCTATTTGGCTCAGGAACTTTCTAAAAGAGCTTAATGTGGTTCCTTCGGTTCAAGCACCAATTGTACTTTATTGTGACTATAAGCACGTGATTTTTGCCCAATATGAGAATTACTCCCAAAAAAAAAATTCAAAAAAATAAAATGATTTTCCTTGGTATGCAATTTGTGAGATTTTGTGATATTTTGAATAATTATTTGTATTTGTCTGTTGTTTGTTTATTTGTT